GAGACAAGGGGCAGCCTCTCCTGGTCCTTTGGACTCCTCTCAGCAGCTCTCCAGTAAGAGCTAAAGCTGCCATTCCCACACCACATTGCCCCTGGACATGGCTGGTCCAGGCTCATCCCCATCCTAGTAGTGGCTCTTGGGCAGTTAACACGAAGCAGGACCTTTGGGGCAGGGCAGGCAGCAGCTACCCCTGGGTTCAGGCTAAATCCTGCCCAAATCCAAAGCTCTGTAGCCCCCAAACTGCTGCTCTGCCTGCTCTGATGTTCAAAGCAGAGACATTTTGCCTGGGGCAGGGGAAAAAGCTTTTGAACATCCACAAAGGCTTCTGAAGAGCGTGAAGATGAGTTATTCACCCACACATCCAAAGCAATTGCTTTGCTCGGACGTGCCACGTCTAAAGTAATGAAGGTAAGCCTAAGTTTGAGCCTTTTTCCACTCAAGATGGGGCATAAAGCAAGCAAATGAGGGGAGGAAGAGGGATGAACACTCTGGGCCAAGTGTTGCTGGTAAGAACCTGTGTTGAAACGGCAGAATTGACACAAGCTGGGTTAAATCAGCATGGAATTGCCCCCAGCCAGGAGAGGACACCTCAGCCTCACAGCCAGGGGCTAAATCAAGCTCATCACTGCAAGTTTGGGATGGCTCCTTCAGGAACCCACCATCAGCCCCTCTTGGACCAGCACTTTCCTTGCCCTGATTACCCTGGTGTCACGTATTGCACAGCAACAAACCCCTGTGGTTCATTTTGGTGCTCTAGGGTTTGCCCATCACTACCTACAGCCTCTGGGCTCCACAGCACTGCAGAGCTGCAAGAAACCCCCCAGTTTATCCTCCTTGTCTTGCTTCTACAGCCTAGAGCTGCTGCAGTCACACAAGGTCCCAGTTGCAGTAGGAATGCTGCAATGCAACACTTTTAGGTTCTTTGTAGTTGATATATGGGTTTAAATCCATACTTGAGGGCTCCTTTGGTCTAGGAAGCTGCAGGAGTCCACACACCATGCAGCAAACACACGGCACCCCCTTATTCACCAGCTTAAGAGTTACACTGGTGATTGCCAGCATAAAACACAGCTTTTGACGGGGCAGGAGATGACTTACAGAGCACACAAGCACCCCAAGCATCACAGACTGGTTTGGGTTGAAGTGACCTTAAAACTCACCCAGTCCCAACCCCTGCCATGGGCAGGGACCCCTTCCACTGGAGCAGCTTGCTCCAAGTCCCTGTGTCCAACCTGGCCTTGAACACTGCCAGGGATGGGGCAGCCACAGCTTCTAGGGGCAACTTGTGTCCCACCACCTATGGAACATCCATATTCTGCAAGGTCAGGAAACTGCCCTAAAGGACTTGGCAAGGATTTCACCTCACCTCAGCCATGTCCTACACAAAGGATCCTCAACACCAGGCACCCCTTGCATGGTGCAGGCTTCCTCCCTGGGGAAATAAACCCACCTCCCACTGCTCCAAACTAGGAGACATCGTCCCCCTCCTACTGAAGAACATCAGCCTTCCGCTTACCAAAGCCAACGCAGCTCAGAGCCACAGCACCTCCATCCACCCTGCTTGGGAGTCCCCAGAGCAGAAGGTCCCACAGCACAAAGGTACCTGGGGGAAGGAAGAGCACCATTAACTACCAAACCACTCCAAGCTAGGAAACACCAGCCAGCTGTAAACACAGCCCCCAAAGAGGGGCTCAGCTCTGCTCAATATAAAACCAAGGCACTCACACATGGGAAGATGGGCAGCAGAAGCTCTTCCTTATGAGGGTGCTGGCACAGGGTACCCAGAGAAGCTGTGGCTGCCCCATCCCTGGCAGTGCCCAAGGCCAGGTTGGACACAGGGGCTTGGAGCAAGCTGCTCCAGTGGAAGGTATCCCTGCCCGTGGCAGGGTTTGGAACTGGATGAGCTTTAAGGTCCCTTCCAACCCAAACCCTTCCATGATATGACATGATATTGTCCTGAACCCGATCGTGGTGTTGCTCACATCCAGCTTTATGCAGTGGGGAGATGGGGTCCAAGGCAGGGTGGATGGAGGAGTCGAGCACTCAGAAGCTGGAAAAGCACCATCTCTCATGGTTCCCTGAAGGACGAGGCCAGTTTTGCCTCCCAACAGCCACACTTCGCATGCACTCAACATCACCCCAGCCCAGGGGACCCTGCTGGGAAACCTCTAGCGTGAGAGGCTCCTGTCCTTCTGGAAAACACAACAGGAAAAGGCAAGGTTCCCTGCAGCTCCCATCACAAAGCCTTTCTGTGTGCTCTGACAGGGCTGATGATGTACACGAAGGTATACAAGTGTCCTAAGGGAAAGGGAGGAGGGTCCTGTTGGAACAGAGCATTGGAGCCCAGAATAGCTTTGGCATCTTCACAGCGGCCCACAGTGCTCATTACTTGTTAAAAGCTTGTAATGATCTGGTTTTGCTGAGCAAGAAATACGTGTTCTCCCTCCCGCAGGGTTCTGTCCTGGCATTGATTCACTCATTCTCTTCCTTCGGATGGAATCTCTTCCAAAAGAAAGGAAACGAATCCTTTGGGTGAAATCCGCCCCCAGACTACCCAACGCTCAGCACCTGAACGTGCTGATCCCACACACACCCCTTCCAGATCCTGCTTTGGTCAAGCCATTATCCCGCATTTCCCTTCCTCTCATGGCAGCAGCACAGGGAAAAGAAGAGCTGGTTCTTTTCAACAGGAGCATGCAAAGGCATCACCTCCTTTATCCTAATGGGGAAACTGAGGCAGGAGGCAGGGACATGCACACTCTCAGCCCTGCAGTGCTCTTGGGGTGCAGGTACCACCTTTGGGGATGGAGGGAGTGGGAAAGGGTTTGCTGGGGTGGGATGAGGGCGCCACAAGCATCGTCCCCTCCTTTGGGGTTCACCCTTGGCCGAAGTTACAGCAATGCCCCTGCGCAGGCCGGTGAGGGGAGGGAATTGGGAATGCCGTCCCAGGGAGCCTTCCCTGCTCGCCCCTTCCTCCTCCTGCATTTTTAGGCAATGCTGCCATCGAGTGGCCCAGGAGCATCCGGATGCGGGAGGAGCGCTCGGCCACCGGCCTGAACCCCTCTGTGGTCACCCAGGAAGGGGCTGGTTGGGATCCGTTCATCCCCTCTTTCATCCATCCTCGGGTTGAAAAGCTCAGCTACTTACCTGGCGCTGGGGACTGAGGGTTTCCAGTCCTTCAGGCTCCCCTAAGGACTTGATCCTGCACAAGAGCCGAGCACCCTCCATTCACAACACTCAGTGATTCAAACCCGGATTTCTCCTGGGTTTCAGGGAGCTGCAGCTTTCCACATGAGCGGTTCCTCCCGCTCACTGCTCCTCTTCCATCCATTCGGGACGCTGCATCCCAAGAACACCATTTAAGAGCATCCAGAGGGCCACGCTCAGCTTTCCCGGGTGGTTTTCCTCACCATCACCCTGGTGCATCCTGAGAGACAACCAGCTCTCCTCGCAGGCAGCAACAGAGCTGTTATTGCCCACACTTGGCAACAACACGGCACTGGAGGAGTAAGTCAAAATCACCCCTGTCTGGTGGCTATTATAAACCTGGGCTGTGGGAGGGTGCGAATCCCTCTTTGCAGTTTAATCAGATTCCAACGGCTGCTTCTTGGGAGAAAAGGCACTGAAAGGAAACGTCCTGTTGGGAAGCTGCTCCCTCCGGAGCGGGAAGACCTTTCCCTTTTCCACATAGTCACACATTTGCTTTGTTCAATCAGGGATGCAGAGCGCTCACCGACCACAGCGGAAAGCCGTTCGGAGGATCCCCTGCCTGTGGTGTCTGTGATATATGAACGTACTACATCAGATGTGGGAGCTTTGCAGTCACCAGCGTGTTTCAAGCCTCTGAGAGGGGGTTTGGCCTCATCAGCCCCCCGCAAAGGGCGCAAAGCACGGGGGGGGAATCGGAAGGCGAAGAGGATGGGGAGGGGATGCAGAGGGGTCGGGGGAACCCGGGGGCTCCTGCAGAGAGCCCAGGGCAGGAGCGGGGCCGGGGGAGGGCTCTCCGGGCCGGCTCTGCCCACCCGCTCCCTGGCACCGCCCGCGTCGCTTATAAAAGCCCCGATCGTGCCTCGCCCGCCGCAGCCGGCTCCGCGCCACCGGCTGCACCCCGAGCCGGGAGGGATCCATCCTGCTGCAGTCCTGGACCGGGAGGAACCCGCATCCCTCATCGTGAACAGGGAGGGACCTGCATCCCGGGCTGGTGGCACCCCGAACCGGGAGGGACCTGCACCCTGCTCCGGTCCAGAACAGTGAAGGACCTGCATCCTGCTCCCTGCATCCCGCTTTGGTACTGAACTAGGAAGGATCCACATCCTGCTCTGGTCCCAGGCCCAGGGGGGACCTGCATCCTGCATGCTGCAGCCTGCTCTGGTCCTGAACGCAGAGAGGACCCATACCCCAAATCAGCTGTGCCCAAACTGGCAGAGACCTGCATCCTTCTCTGGACCTGAACTGGGAAGGACCCACATCCCAAACCGGTCCTGAACTGGGAAGGACCCACATCCCAAACCGGTCCTGAACTGGGAAGGACCCACATCCCAAACCTGTGGAGTGCCTTGACATGGCCGGACCTCCTGCTCCAGCTGCACCCAGAGACAGCAGGGACCTGCACCCCGAGCCAGCCATGTACCCCAAACCGACTGCACCCTGAACCAGAAGGGTCCTACACCCCAAAGTGGCTGCACCCTGAACCAGGAGACACCAATGCCCTAAACCATCTGTGCACCCCACAACAGCCATCCCTGGAACTGGAGCTACCCATGCCCTGAACCAGAATGGCTGCACTCTAAACCAGGAGGGACCTGCACCCCAAACCAGCTGTGTGCCCCAGACTTGTTGTACCCTGATCCTGCTGTACCCTAAACCAAGGGGGACCTGCACCCAACTGCATCTGTGCACCCTGATCCTGCTGCACCCCAGACCAGGAGAGACCTGCACTTGACAGCATCTGAGCACCCTCATCCTTCTTCACCCCAAACAGGAGGGACCTGCGCCCAACTGCATCTGTGCACCCTGATCCTGCTGCACCCCAGACCAGGAGAGACCTGCACTTGACAGCATCTGAGCACCCTCATCCTTCTTCACCCCAAACCAGCAGGTACCTGCACCCTGCAGCATCCCTGTACCTGTTGCAGCCGCACCGTGGTGGGATGGATAACGCTCTGCCTCTGGAAGAGGAGCTGAAGCACTTAGAGCTGCTCAATGCCTCCCTGAACGAGTCCTTTGTGAACCAGTTCGTGCAGCCCCCATGGCAAGTGGCCCTGTGGGCTGTTGCCTACGCCCTCATCGTGGTGGTGTCGGTGGTGGGGAACGTGGTGGTGATGTGGATCATCCTGGCTCACAAGAGGATGCGCACCGTCACCAACTATTTCTTGGTGAACCTGGCTTTCGCCGAAGCCTCCATGTCTGCCTTCAACACGGTGGTGAACTTCACCTACGCCATCCACAACGAGTGGTACTATGGGCTGCTCTACTGCAAGTTCCACAACTTCTTCCCCATCGCTGCTGTCTTTGCCAGCATCTACTCCATGACGGCCATCGCCCTGGATAGGTGAGTTTTGAGCATCAAACCCCAAACCCTCCCTAGCACCCAGCTCTGCCTTCTCCAGGGCGCTGCGCTCAGGTCCCTGGGACCTCTGGTTGTGGGGAAATACTGCAAGTAAAATATAGCTCGTTTGGGTAAAAGAGCACTAGAAATAACCCATCTGCCTCCCCTGGTAGCAGGAGGCTTTGGGGATCCTTTGTTAGGAGCTCGAGGAAAGGCTTTGTAACCCCCTCTACAGTGTGTCTTGCATGTGCATGTGTAGCATCGCTGTCCCCTCCCTTCCCAGCTCCTCTGCAGAGCCATCCATCCCTTTCCCAACTTCCTACTTTAAAAGAGAACTGGATTTTGAGCACAAAATGACATAAAAGACACCAGTGTCGGATGCGCTTGCAGGAGCTGTTCCGAGTCTCCCAGTCTGGGTTGGGAACCTTCTAAGGAGCCTTGGAGGGAAGCTCGGGCTTGGGAAAGCCCATTGCTTTGGTGGGTGGGTGTCCTCAAGCAAACCCACCTTGATTGTATTGGGGGTGTCAAGAGCAGAGGAAGCTGTGATGGCTCAGGGATGCTGCCTTTTCCCTGCGGAGCATCCCTGGCAGTGCTCAAGGCCAGGTTGGACACAGGGGCTTGGAGCAAGCTGCTCCAGTGGAAGGGGTCCCTGCCCGTGGCAGGGGTTGGAGCTGGAGGAGCTTTAAGGTCCCTTCCAACCCAAACCAGGCTGGGATTCTGGGATTCTATCTGCCAAGGGACACAAAGCAGCTGTGCACCTCCAGGGTGAGCTCCCCTCTTTTCTCCCCCTCCGAGAAATCTTGGATCTGATGACATTTTCACTCCAGCACTAGAGATAAATCACGGCTCTCGGGCAGCTCCGCAATTCCCTCTGGAACACTGGCCTTTGAAGCACAACAGACTTTTCCAACACATCATCTTTCCCAAAGACAGCAATGCCTCTTTTTGGTCCTGCTTCCAAGGAAGTGAAGGACGTTTTGGCTGGGGATACATGCGAGGGGAGGGGAGAGCTTTGCACTGCCGTATGCCAGCACATTTCCAGCTCCGATCTAAGCGCTGCGCTAACTGGCACGGATGTTTCCCGATGATGAATACAGCTGACAGCTTGGGAAGCAGCTCGGGATGGGCGATGCTCTCTAGTCATTAAAACCAGGCTCAGGTTTTGTTTTGCTCTGGGGTGGTTATAACACCCTCTCCCCGTCGTAAATCAGACATAGCCAAGCTCTCTTAGCAGAGAATTAAGGCAATAATAAAGAGATGAATGCTACCAACGCGGCTCTGTTCTCACCGTTGGTGCTGGCATCTGTGCTGTAAGGATGTTGGGGACCAGCCAGCAAAGCCCCTCTCAGGTTAGGATGAATTAAAGACATGATTCCCTTTTAGTACTTTGGGTTTGAGCCTTTGGTCTGCACCCTGGAATAGCCAGACAAGCAAAGCTGAGGGAGCAAAGTCTGGGAGCCCGGGGCTGGATGTGGGGCTGGAATTGGCATTTCCAGGTTTCTTTTTGCACCTGTAAACCTTAACAGAGGCTTGGTTTTACCCACGGCAAACCCACAAGAAGGGCCCAAAAGAAGCTGCAAAACTCCTGCCCAGAGCTACCTCCTGCATCCCTCATCCCCACATTCCCCCCTGAGGTGGGAACCTGGGAAGGTGAAGGCAGCAAAGCCCATTCTCTGTGCCCCCCCCCCAAGTCAATCAGCATCAAACAACGCGTCCAAACCCTGGAAAATTCCTTGTTTTCCTGTGCCTGAGCCTTGACAATGGTAACTGAAACGTAGGAAACGCAGGAACTTGTTCCAGGAACCTAAAGGGAAGAATTTGTCCTGGCAAGCAGGAAAAAGCAGTGTAAAGTAAAGCAAGTACCTGGATTTGGAGCAGCAGAGCCAGGTAGGCTCAGCAAAATGGGTTGTCTTCACAGCCAGGACCTACATCTGAAGTCAAACATGACTGCGGAGCTGATTTCCACCCAAAAAGGGAAGCAGAATTGACTGTGCCTCATGTTCCCAAGTGCATTGAGCCGTCTGTGAGAGCCTTTGGATGTCCCAGAGGAGCCTCAGTGTGCAGATTGCTCCCCTAAACCATCCCCACTTGTGCTTTCTGCCAACACCCTCATTGGAGATATAAAACCACTTTGGAAAGATCTGGTGGTTATGGATCCATAACAGAGCCATTGAGAGAAGTGGGGAAGTGGGTTTCATTCTCCCAAAGGCTTTTGCTTGCAGATAGAGCACCAGCTCTTTCCCCAAGACCTAGTGGAGCCTGGGCACTGAAAAGACCACAGAAAGAAGTGAATCCTATGGCGAGTGTTACTCCGAGCCCTGCAACAATAGCAGGAAATTCAGGAGTCAAGGCTGGCAGCTGGTAAATCTGCTCAGGAAAAGCCATGATGCTTTCAGCATCCTGCACAAGTAGGGGCCCAACAGCTCGCTTTGGCACCATGAAGTTTGCCATGCCCTACATTGTGGGGTGTATCAGTACTAGAGGACATCACATAATCCCTTTCTGGCTTCCAACTCTTCCCAATTCACTTGAAAGAGAGAAAATCCTGGGTTTTCCCAGTATTCCAGGAAAAGTGGGAGCCCGGCAGTGCCATGTACCCATGTTGCAGTATCCATGGTGCATGGGATGACCATCATTAGGCACACTGGATGTTTTCTCTCTCGTTGGGGCTTGGATTCTTCTCTGAGCATCACCACTCACCATGAGCAAACATGGGACGGAGGAGTGATGGAAAGCCAGGAATGCAGGCAAAGGTGAAGAGCCTGGATGACTTGCTCGGGAATCAAACCCACTTCCCAGGTTGTCCTCTAAACAAGAGCGAATCAGGCAAAAAAGACCCCTCTCTGATGTCAAAACTTGTGGTGATCTAAGCTGCAAACCCCGCAGACTGAGCAAGCACTGGTAAGAAGGTCAAGCCCTGCCTCGAGGGTGCAGACATTGCAGCACTGGGGCTATTTGATGCAGAGATGTCCCTTTCCCTGCAAAGCATCCTCTGCTCTAAAGCAGCTCTAAAAATGATGTATGGTGGGGCTGACCCCCTCAGCTCCCAGAGCAACGTGTTCCTGTTGCTCATTGACAGGCTGAGAGAGCTGGGCTGGGGCAGCCTGGACAAGAGAAGGCTCCTGAAGGGGAGACCTGAGAGCAGCTCCAGTGCCTGAAGGGGCTGCAGGAAAGCTGGAGAGGGGCTTTGGGATATAAAGGATACAGGGCCAGGCCAAGGGGAATGGCTTGAACCTGCCAGAGGGGAGACTGAGATGAGCTCTTAGGCAGCAGGGAGGTGTCTGAAGATCCATCAGCCTGCAGAGGACACCACAAACCCTTAAACCTTCATTTCCCACCTCAGCCCCTCCAATCACTGCCTGCAGTTGTTAACATCTCCCCAACCCCATATTATCTGCAGCAGAAAAACGTGGCTCTGAACACTATTTACTGCTTGTAAGCCTGAACTCCCAGGTTGGCTGAAGCAGCTGAGCAAGAGGAGCACATTCACCCCCTGCCTTCCCTGGGAGGTGATTACTGCAGAAAGAAACCCTCTGGAGAGGAGAAATTACATCAGTGCGCAGACAGAGGAATTAGTCATTTACACCCAAATATAACACCAGGGGGTTGGGTTTAATCTTGACTTAATGGACTTGTGGGCTTTGCAGAGCAAGGTTTTGATCAGTGCCCGGCACTGTGTAATCCTGGGATGTAAAGTGGAAGATTGGAAGGGGAAGAGGGAAGCCAAAGGAGGTGGGTTTAGGGTTGGCAGCCCCTGCACCCGCTGCCCTGAGGCATTCCCTATGCACCAGGTAGCAATAATCAAAGCAGCTTTTGGCATTCCCAAAAACTCCAGCATTACTGAATGGTGCAAAAGCCCTGGGAAGCTGCTGGATAGGCAGCATGGAGCGGGATCAAAGCATTGCTTTTCCAGCTGGGGCTGGAAAGCCGTGGGATGGGGATGGACAAGGGAATGCAAGGTTGGTTTATGCCCCTGCTCCCAGCAGTAGGCTCTGATCTGATGGGTATTCACTGGAATTAAACCCCCCATATCCACTAGATATTAATTCAGCCTGTCCAAAACTAAGTTGCACCTTTTTTCCCCCCTTTCCTTTGGGAGTTTGAAATTCCCATGGCAAGGAATACAGAAGTGAGATGGATTAGTGACAGTTTGATGCTCAGAGGCACAGGACACTCAGGTTTTAGATGTGTCTTGATGTGATCATGGTGCTCATCTGCAACCTGGGTACTGGCACAAGCCACTGCAGGAGTTTAAGGAGATGCTTGGTTTATTTGGTGGCTTTCTTAGTTTATTCCTTAATTTATCCTTCATTACTCAATACCCAGTGGGAGCCATCCATGCACTGAGCACGCTGGGTCTCATGGGTCACCAGCCCTGCATCTGAGGTGATATTTGCTCTCCCCCTTCACCCTAGAGCTGTAAATCAGTGCCAGGACTCACTGCTTGATAAGGTGCCTTGAATAACAGCATCGGCAGAGTCTCTCGGTGGGGCTGGGTTCTGCTTTGGGTCCTCCTCTCCCATCCCATGCTGAGGATGAAGATGCTTTGCGGAGCACTGAGCATCCCTCGGGGCAGGAGCTCACTGTCCATCTCGGTTTGCATGGTCACTGGTTGATGTCAAAGCAATAAATAGGAGGAAGCAGCTGCTTGTGGCACCTCCATCCTCAGCATCATGTTTCAAGCAGCAGCAGGGCTCAGCTTCCCTCCTCTGCTGTCATTCAGACAGTAGGAATTTGGGGCCAGCAGAAGGCCAAGCCTCCATACACAAACCTGCTCGAGGGACAATGACTGCATCCACGCTGCTGTGGCACTGTCCCTGTGGAAAGCAGAAAAGGAAGGGTTTCTCTATGAAGAAGCTTCTTGTTTCTTAGGTAGAATCCTGGAATGGTTTGTATTGGAAGGGACCTTAAAGCTCATCCAGTCCCAATCCCTTGCCACCCTTGCAGCATCTCCATGCCCTCCTCTGGCCTCACTCAAGCACTTAGGAAGGACCCAGAGCTGTGCTGGACATATTTGACCCATCTCAACCCAGGGCATCTGCTCTGACTTGGTTGCAGACTCCCCTGGGACTGGCTCTGCACTAAACCCTCTTTGCCTTTGCCTCAGGATGGGCAATCACTGTGCAATAAAACCCACAGCAGAAACCCTGCATCCTCCTGGTTACTCATCCCTTATCTGCCGTATCCTTATCACTTAATGAAGCAGATAAGGAAACTCTGGGACAAAAAAAGGCTTCATAAATGTTCGCCATTATATTAATCTCATCTCCACGGGGTGGAAACAATTGAGCAGTGTCAGTTACCCAGGCAGACTCCAGCTTTCCAGAAGCAATTAATCGATGGCTACACTGCCTCAAGTGCAGTGTCTATTTAATAACCCACCAGCTCAGAGCTACCCTGGTACAAGGCTGTGCTCAGATGCCATCCCATCGTCATGGTAACACCCCCCAAACCACAATAAACTATTTGAACAGCAGCAAACAGCATTTCCAACGTCACCGATAGCATCTGGTGTGAAGTTGTGTGCTTTGGTGCCAAGCCCTTTAAACATCAAACGTGATGGGGAAGAGACAGGCAAAGTGTCCTCAAGGAGCTGGGCAACTCTTGCCCAACCCAATAATGGGATGAGGTTGGGGTTTAGTTCATTCTCACAGTGATTCTTTGGATGTTTTATCAGCCATGAGGGCTTCTGCAGCTGCAAAGTGCTTTAAACCGATGAGGAAAGTCCTCTGAAATGCACTGGCAGAAAGGAAGCTGGAGATGTAGAAGCATTTCTGGGTGGTTGCAGTCAAGCACCGGCTTTGCTTTCTGGAGCTCTCAGCCTCAGATGTTTCTCCAAGCAAGGATTCCAACAGAAATGGCCCAACTTTTGTGGAAACCCCTTGTTTTCCACCATTTGAACCATTGAGTCAAGCATCAGCAACAAACTTGGGCACGTGGACTTCTTGCTGTTGTGAAGGCCATGGTGGAGCCCACCCGTACGTCTCCAGCTCAGCAAACCCAGTAACAAGGGGCTCAGCCAACACCAACAATGAGGAAGAGGAGGGAGACGAGTCCCTGCAGGACCCCTGGGAGCTGTTCACAGTCCAACAAGGGGAAGATGTGAAACATGGATGCAGAAACCAAGAGACCTGGATGCATCAGGAGCTGCTGTGAGGAGCAGCACTAGCACCCATTGCCTCGGCTCTTCCTAACCAGTTCCCAAAGTACCAAACAGATTTCCAGGGATTATTATCAGGTGGATTAGGTGGGTTTTCAGCTGCACAAAGCTGATAAGGTTTGGTACCCTGGGGCAGAGCTGGCGGCAGCACATCCTGCATAGTTAAGTATTAATCCCTACGGCTTTGCCCTGCAAGTGACCACCCAAGAATGAAACACAGGGAGTCTTTTCCATCTAGGAAAAGAAATACAAGGGAAAAATGAAAGAAGGGGCAAAGGGAGAAATAGAGGAAGCTGCAAATGCCTCGGGCCATAACTCAATGCAGAGCACTGCGATGTTTCTCCTCTTGCCAAAGGTTGACATGGAGCAAGGGGGGAAATCAAATCAGAAACGTGTGACGTTCTCACTTAATCCTCCAGTGCTGCTGCCTGCTGCCAGGTCTGCAGAGCCAGATTTGCAGGTCCATCTATTCCATCTGCCTTGTCACCACTGGAGCTTTTCCTCACAGAGGATGACTGATGTGCAGGGAAAAGAGCCCAAGAGCCAGGCAGATAGAGGGGGCCCTTAGATCCCCCATCACACACTCTTAGTTGTGGTTCTCCACTGTAACACTTGGCACTGCTGCCTACCACAGAGACAGGATTTTACATGGGTGCAAAACCACAGGGTGCTGCCAAAGGGGCTGCTGCCAGACAGCAGCATCGTGGCTGCCTTGTGTACAAATGGTCACTGCAGAAGCAGTCGGCTGCTGCTTGCGTGAGCAAAGCTGGTTTTCAGCTACAAATCAACGAGTGTCTCCAAAAGGATTCAAATCTCAAGGGTAAGGTGCTGTAAGACAATTAGAGAATTGGAATCTTCCATAAAGGGATTGTTTGATGCTGTTTTGCTGCTGCGGTCATAGAATCATGGAATGGTTTGGGTTGGAAAGGAGCTTAAAGCTCAGCCAGCTCCAACCCCTGCCACGGGCAGGGACCCCTTCCACTAGAGCAGCTTGCTCCAAACCCCTGTGTCCAACCTGGCCTTGAGCACTGCCAGGGATGGGGCAGCCACAGCTTCTCTGGGCACCCTGTGCCAGCGCCTCAGCACCCTCACATAAATCACTTCTGCCTTATCTCCAACCTGAACTCCCCCTGTTTCAGTCTGAACCCATCACCCCTTGTCCCATCCCTACAGTCCCTGTGAAGAGCCCCTCTCCAGCATCCTTGTAGCCCCCTTCAGACACTGGAAGCTGCTCTGAGCTCTCCACACAGCTTCTCTTCTCCAGCCCCAATGTTCTCAGCCTGGCTCCATACGGGAGCTGCTCCAGCCCCTGAGCATCTCCATGGCCTCCTCTGGACTCGCTCCACCAGCTCCGTGTCCTGATGCTGGGGACCCCAGCACTGCACACAGGCTGCAGGGGGGGTCTCCCCAGAGCCCAGCAGAGGGGCAGGATCCCCTCCCTGAGCTGCTGCTCACGCTCTGGGGGTGCAGCCCAGCACTGGGGGGGTTCTGGGCTCAAGCGCTCACTGAAGCCGGGTCATGGGGAGCTTCTCCTCACCCAACACCCCCAAGTCCTTCTCCTCAGGCTGCTCTCAATCACTTCTCCGCCCAACCTGCGTCTGTGAAATGCTGTGGATGCCTTTAGGGGTGTCAAAAGTACAACCCCCATTCAAGGCAGACCTAAACCAGCCCCAAAATCTGCAATATTGGGGCTCTCTGGTCTTGTTCTCTCCTTTCCCCACCTTGCAGGTACATGGCCATCATCCACCCGCTGCAACCCCGGCTCTCGGCCACCGCCACCAAGGTGGTCATTGGCATCATCTGGCTCCTGGCTTTCCTGCTGGCCTTCCCCCAGGGTTACTACTCGGTGATGGAGGAGCTGCCGGGGCGGCTGGTGTGCCTGGTGGAGTGGCCAGAGCACAGCACCAACCTCTATGGGAAAACGTGAGTGGAACTTTGCCAGCAGTGGGGACAGAGAAACGCAATAAATGTATGGGGAAAAAGGGGAATGGGGAAGGATGGGAGTGGGTCAAAGCTCCTCGGGGTGCAGGGAGCATAGAGTCATGGAATGGTTTGGGTTGGAAGGGAGCTTAAAGCTCATCCAGTTCCAACCCCCTGCCATGGGCAGGGACACCTTCCACTGGAGCAGCTTGCTCCAAGCCAGGGCCAGTGCTACGTGGTTGATGGTACCAAAATCTCCATCCAAACCATCCTAGGGGCACGTTAAGGTGAGTTTAATGCTGCTTGTAGTCCAACCATTGCCCCACGCTGTGCCATGCTCCCTGCCCTTCTTGGATGCTCATCCTTGAGGGAAGTTCAAGTCAAACTGCTAAGATGCAATATTGTGGCTGTGGATGTGGGGTCTGCACTGACCCCAAGGACTTATTCATAGACATAGGTATGGCTCTGGTTCTTGCAGCACCTTTCCTGCAACCTGTATCTCTAAAGCTTTCCTGGGAAAAGAGTTATTCCTGCAGGAGGTAAATGGGATTTTACTGGGGGAGGGAAGGATCTTGGCCAGGCAATAACTGGTAAAAATAATGGTTTGGGATTTGCTGAGTGCAAATACCCCAAAATCCACTCGACAGCTCCAAAACCAAGTTACAAAAGGGGGCTCTGTGGGATCAGCTCCAGCTGGGAAGCAAAGCCTGGGCTGTGGGAGCTCAGCAGGAATCTCCTTCCTTCCCGTTAAGGTGCCAGCTCTTTAAATGTGGCATTTCCAAAGGGCCCGGGCAGCCCCGCTGGTGCTCTTTGGAGTCCCTGGGTCTCTAACTAAGCAAGTTAAATGTCATGTGTTAAGGAGGAAGGATCGGAGGGGATGAAAGAGGCATTTGTGATCTCCAGTCCCGTGGAGCAATGAGTTAGGGCTGTGAAACTGGGCTGGAGCCGAAGCACAGGATACACACGCACAGAGATGGGGTTAAATCCAACCTGAGCCTAGTGAAGTTCTCAACGCAAGACTAATGTTTGTCGGTCAGCAGCAAGGGGCAGGTTGCAGAGAGCTGGATGGTATCATTCAGTGTCATCTTATTTACTAGCATTGAAGGCAGGGATGGCAAGAACTAAGCTGGGGCTGCCCCAGCTCGTCTCCAGAGGTGTTTTCCAACCTTAACTATTCCAGGCTGCTGTGGTAAATACAGACAGTGTGAAGAAATCATAGATCCCAACCTGGTTTGGGCTGGAAGGGACCTTAAAGCTCACCCAGCTCCAACCCCTGCCACGGGCAGGGACCCTTTCCACTGGAGCAGCTTGCTCCAAGCCCCTGTGTCCAACCTGGCCTTGAGCACTGCCAGGGATGGGGCAGCCACAGCTTCTCTGGGCACCCTGTGCCAGCGCCTCAGCACCCTCACAGGGAAGAGCTTCTGCCTAAGAGCTCATCTCAGTCTCCCCTCTGGCAGGTTCAAGCCATTCCCCTTGGCCTGTCCCTACAGGCCCTTGTCCCAAGCCCCTCTCCAGCTTTCCTGCAGCCCCTTCAGGCACTGGAGCTGCTCTCAGGTCTCCCCTTCAGGAGCCTTCTCTTGTCCAGGCTGCCCCAGCCCAGCTCTCTCAGCCTGGCTCCAGAGCAGAGCTGCTCCAGCCCTTACAGCAGCTCCGTGGCCTCCTCTGGACCCACTCCAACAGCTCCACATCCTCCTTATGTTGGAAATACCACTGGTTTAGACAGCCCACATGGCTGGGATGGGGTTGAGCCTCCCCAGGGCAAAGCAACAACCAGCACAAGCTCAGGAGCTGACTTGGACAGATGATTTGCTCTTCAGTTGTCCTCAAGTAGCTAATTCAAGAGAAAAATGCCACCATTAACCCATGAGTGATTTGCCACTGGAAGCCAGGCGCCGCTTCCAAGCCTGAGCATCCTGTGCTCCAGTGAGCCAGGGGCTCCGCAGGCACATGAGGGCAGGCAGGAAAGCTGGGAAAGCTTTTAAACACCCAGACCCCAAAGAATCTGGTGGGGATTGAGCAGGACTTGCAGCTCAGCAGCTGGGCTGTGAGGAGAAATGGCGTTAACCTTTCAGTTCAATACTGAAAATAGGGGACTTCCTCATGGCAAATGGAGCCCAGAAAGCACAGCCCTGGGATCAGAGACTGGAATAAGCACATGGGGGGTTCACTGGGAAAACATGCCCATTCTCATGGGGGGAAGAGGACAAGGGCCTCGGTGCAGGCGAGTTCATCTGCAACAGGAGCCGGCAATCGGGCTCGATTCAATTGAGCTCAATCCAATTCCGCTCCGGCCGCTCAGCACCATTCCCTCTCCTGCATTTGGTGAAAGATAGATGTCCAGTGTGTTCCAATGTCATTAGCTGCCAGTTCAGTTTGTTAAGGGGAAGGGAAGAGCTGCTCCATTCACTGGGTTCTGTAGGAGACATCAGCCCACGGTGACCACCTGGGATCTACCAGGCAAAAGGAGGTGGCAGCCGCCGCCTCCAGCATCCCTGTCCCATAACTCCTGCAGGCTGCTCCATCCTTTACCAGACCCTAAATCCCCACATGGAAGATGTCTACGTTCCCAACCCTGGGCTTCTCTAAGCGCTTTGATCCTGCAAGTCTTGTAGACAGAATAACAGCCGAATGGTTCCACATGGAGATTGGTCCAAAGCCAACAAGGTGTCTTTGGAAATCCCTTTCCCTACCATTCCCAGGCAGCTCTGCAAGAAGGCTCCATCTTGCTTGCACTAACAGCTCCTTGGGGCATTCCTGCTGTTTGCAGCTGGTTTAAGACCTTGCATTAGACGGGAACCACAATGAAATCTTCATCGCGGAGCCACAGAGACGCCTCTTTAATTAGCAAAATAGAAAACAGGGCTCCAAAATCCAGCCCAAATGTGATTAGTGCTGGGCAAAGAGGAGGCCGAATGAGATTGCAGGTACAAAACAAAGAGGAGATGGCATCCAGCACAGAGCTGGGGCCAACCCCATTCCCTGTGGGAGTTGCACCAGGCATGGGCCTGACCCATTCGTTACACTTTGGAGCTATTATTCCATCCATGAGTGTGAGTGTGGAATGTGGCTACAGGGCCAGGACTGCCTTGAGCGCATGCAACACCTTGTATCCAAGCAGGACACTCACCCCAAAAACCATGCGAAGACCCTAAAGCTGTTGGAAGAAAATCACCTCTGGATGTGGCATCGTGCGCGTCCCTTTGCGCTGTGCTGCCAGGCACATTCCTGTTCCCCTATTGCTCATCTTTCTGCAAGGGAAAGAGGTTTATGGAAGTCCTGAGGGTAGGAAGGAACCTGCAAGGTCAAACTGTTCATCCCCATCCTGTTGGTTACAAACAATGTGATCTTTTTCCCCTCTTGAAAGCAGCTTCTCCTTAACACAACTCCTTCGCTGAACACACTGCATACCGGCGGCTGTTGTAATCCTCCACACTCCACCAGCTTCAAACACAAGATAAAACAGCCTCAAGCATGTGCTAAACAATTTAATACAGACCCAGACATTCCATTTGGGACTTATTTGTACCTGCTGTGAGCAGAAACCAAGATCCTGCCCTTGCCACCAGCCTGGAGAACCGAGCCAGCCACTGGGTTCACGCAGAAGTTGTAATAAAGCCCCATGACAAGAGTTTAGGCTGCGTTTTGGGGGACTGGGGTTATGCCATGAGCCATCTGAGCTCAACTAAACCAATGGTGGACCAGGATTGCATCCAAGACCCAGTGTTTGCTCTGCAGGGAAAGCCTTGGTTTCTTCATCTGGATATTCCCATCCTTTATACGTCATTTCCTTCTGATAAAGGTGTGATAAGTGCAAGCGTTCACCTCTAGGGTGTAAATAGAGTAGAAGTGAGAATAAAACCCACTTTCAGCCAAAATATCCTTGCCTTAGGAAGTTCTTCACTGGCCTCTTCATCCCATCCCAGGAGGGTGCTGGGATGCCAAAGGCTGGCTGCAGAGGCTTGGAAAAGATCCTGGTGAAAGCAGGGAATCCTTCCCATCCTGCGCTGTGCAGGCAATGTACCTGCAGGAATTGTGCCACATTCCCTTTGTCCCTGTGAAACACTTTGCCTTAGAGCTCGGCTTGCAAGGAAAAGACTGGATAGGTGGGGGCCACATTCAAGAACCCTCGTGTTTTCTAGGTACCACTTCTGCATGACCATCCTGATCTACTTCTTGCCACTTCTGGTGATAGGATGTGCCTACACCGTGGTCGGTATCACCCTCTGGGCGAGCGAGATACCCGGTGACTCCTCTGACCGCTACCACGAGCAGGTCTCAGCCAAGCGGAAGGTAAGGAGCACAATAGGAGCCAGGATTCATGCCCCATCCCAGCTAATCACAGCCAAAAATAGTCAGTTACGGGTGGAAACAGGTCAAGATTTGTTGCATGGTCGCTGCTAATGGAGCAGAGCGTCCTCCAGATGCGTCCTCCATGAACATGCATGGTTTAACCAAGAGGTTGACCATGTGTTCCTGGTTAGAAAGGTCTCCAAGGCAAAAAGAGGTGGCCCCTTTGGAGGGTTTCCAACAGATGACTTTGCTTCCCTGCCCTCTCTTCTCCACGCAGGTAGTGAAGATGATGATCATCGTGGTATGCACGTTCGCGCTGTGCTGGCTGCCCTACCACATCTACTTCACCCTGCAGTATTTCAACCCTGAGTGGTACCTGCAGAAGTTCATCCAGCAGGTCTACCTGGCTATCATGTGGCTGGCCATGAGCTCCACCATGTACAACCCCATCATCTACTGCTGCCTCAATGATAGGTGGGTTTTGAGTGATTTCGGGCAGCATCTTGGTGTAACAGGGTGGAGGATGAGGAGATACAAAGGGGTCTGATGGAGGAGAGTACAGATGGAGAGTTTCACCAGAGTGGCTCAGTGTTTTGCAGTGTTTTTTTCCTCCCCTTAATAACAAGAAGCTCTGTCTTCCCACTCCTATGAGGTCCTTTTGCCACCTGCGCATCCCTCACCCCTTCCTCTCCCCATCTCTCCCGTCCCTCAGGTTTCGTGTGGGGTTCAAGCACGCGTTCCGGTGGTGCCCCTTCGTCAGCGCCGGTGAGTACGAGGGCCTGGAGATGAAGTCAGCCCGGTTCCTGCAGACACAGAGCAGCATGTACAAGGTGAGCCGCATCGAGACCACCGTGTCCTCGGCGGTTGGAGCGGCCGAAGAGGAGCTGGAGGAGAGCAGCAAAGCCAAGCGCCTCTCCATAGACATGACCTCCAACGGCTCCTCCCGCAGCGACTCCAAAACAGTCTCTGAAAGCTTCAGCTTCTACTCCAACACGCTCACCTAAGCAGCTCCCCAGCTCCATCAGCCACTCGTAAGGATGCTCCAGTGCTCAACCCACCCAGAGTCATCGCCCAGTTTGTGATGTGCTGGCTTTTCTCTGTGCTGTTTTACTGTCTCTTGCCATGGCTGTCGCTTGCCATCCTTGGGAGAGCCCAAGAGCATTGAATTAGCTTCATGTTCTCCACTGTGGTTCGTGTTCCAACACAAGGGAGCTTAGGCTGGCCTCTGCCTTGCTTGCTGTCTGTCCAGCCACCACAGGATGCAGAACTGCGACAGAGCTGGGTTTTCCTCCTAAACCATAAGTACAACACTGGCAGGTCTTTCCCTGCTCGCTGCAAGGCAATAGGGATCTCCCCAGGCATCCCACCCACAGGAAAATGAACCAGGCTTGCACTTTCCTCCTCCCACCTTTAATTTCATCTTCCCTGTTGAATATCCAGAGGGGTATTCAATTAAATCCACCCCAAAATGCTGTTTGCAGCTGCAGGAGCCTGCACATCCACAGGACACCACTGCCCACTCGGTGCTTCAACTCAGATCCAGGCACTTCTGCACAGTCTCAGCTCATCTCCAGCATCCGCATCCCTCTGCATGATGCTCTTCTGTTGCTACTCCACACACAGAGCTCATCAAAACAAGGCTCTCAAGAAGGATTTCTGACCTGAGCCAGACTTTGTTTGCCATTAATCAACCCTATGTGCCAAATGCAATCACTGTGATGTCCTAAAAGGCCCAAGGCGATGGCTCTCGGATGGATTTTGAAAGTCTGTGGGGTTCTGAAGAAGAAAAGAGTGACCATATCAAAATGCTTTTCACCATCTGGAAACATCTAGAGCCGCATAGAAAGGGATGTGGAAGGACTCCATCAGAATCAAACAGCTTTTGCCGGTGAACAGGGCTTGGAGACAAGGATTCTGCAGTTTTTCACTCAGAGGAGGTTGAAAAGATTCACTTCCACTCTTCCTGGATCTGGTTTGAACCAGGAAAACTATTTTTTCTTCTCATCCCCTTGTCTTTTGCATAAAACATTCTGTTTACGGAGTGTACATGGATATGTCAAGTATTTTCGTCCTGTTATGATTGATAATTTTCACTGGGGCTGTTCATACAAAGAGCAAATGTACAAACAGACATTCCAAAGGAGAAGTGGGCAAACTTGGCTTGTTGAGAGCAAACCCACAAGTTTGGGGGGCAATCTGGGGGCAGTTGTATTGACTGCTCCTGGCTGCTGGTCCAATCTCTCACTTGTGGTGGAGAAATGAGATTCCTGGAATGGATCCACTGCAAGACAGAAACGCTGCAGAGACTCGCGACAGATTTGCATAGGGCAAGGGAACTGCTCATTCATTTTCCAGCAGCTGAACATCATCCCCTGCTGAGCACACAGTAAGTCTGGAAGCGAAGCAGTGATGACTTCTGGAGCACTGCAACTCTTCAGCCTCCAGCCTGGCGCTTGGCAGATTCAATCATTAATAAATCCCCAGCCCCAGTGGTTCTTGGGGATGAGAATACACATGTTTAAGCAATGACTCCAGCAGAAATCAAATGAGGGGGCAAATGGATGGATCCAAGGGCAACAAAGCGACTGCAAAACCAGGCTGACAAGAACGATCATCTTCATTTCCACCCCAAATCCTGCCAAGTGCCATCAGTGAGGAGCAGCTCTTCCAGCCTCTTCCACACTCTCCTGAGTGCTGCGACCACACAACGTCACAAACTGCCTCGTGCTTCATGCACGTGCCCTGCTTAAACTTCCACTTCTCACCATTCTTGCTGCCTTATTCCCTTGCTGCTGTCCCAGCACAACCCTGCGGCATGGAGAAGGGGGAATTTGGGGTTGCAAATCTCCACCAGCCCCAGGCAGCAGCGATGGAAGGGACGGGTGAAGCCAAGGGGTTTAACACAAGGGGTAGACTAGGAAACTTCTTCCACCAACCCCACAGGAGCTGTGCTGCCAATACACGAGAAGGTGCTACAAACCAGAGCCAAATGGTGATTTCTTCCCAGCTGCCAAGCCAAATTCCACATGAAAATGAAACCAAATATCTCAGAATGGTCTAAAGAGCTGAATAAGGCAAGCTCCATACACCCCACGTACAGGCTGTGTGCTGTAGAAGTCAGCATTTAAAGAAGAAACAACAGAAAAGATATATATGTATGTGTGTGTATGTGTATATATATGTATATCCATGCTGCCTTTTTGTCCTCCAGGCTTTCTGCCCAAGGATGCTGTAAGCATGAGATGTGCAGAGAAAAAGACAACTGTCTTCTCGCAGGCAACACTCAGCTTGAAATGTGGGATAACCCCATGGCTGCGCACGGAGCCTCCTGTTCGAGCTGACAGTTTCCAGCCTGAAATGCTTCTTGTGTGTCTTGTAGAGAACTCCCTCCTGAAATAAAGTGGGAAAAATTCCCCCCTCTTATAAACAGTGCCAATGACCGCAATGGAGCCAGCCTGGCATGCCCAAGCTGATGGGAATGTGCCAAGGGATCATTCGACAGATGGAGACCAATGCAGCAAAACCAAAATGTTCTGCGTAGATGGGTACAACATGCCCAAACCTAAGTTTTCTTTTCTCCCATCCAAGTCATTTGCACATTTAGGATGGTTGGGTGAGGTCCATGTCCATGCACATGATATGCATCAGGCATCATTAGCTGGTTTCACCGACTTTGAGATGCTCTGTGCACACAGAGGAGCCTTCTTCTGAAGACTGAAAAGCCTAAAACAACAAAACCCCTGCCCAGACTTGGAGATGGGACACCTAAATATAGTGTGAGCGCAGTCTCTGTGCTGTTTCCAGCTCTCCTTTCCAACAGATCAGCTGTAACCCTGAGGTTTTCCTGTTTATTAAGCCTGTTTTCCTGGTTTGTTGGCAGGTCTCTGATCAGAAATTCAATTGCAAAGCAAGACGGTTCCTTTGTCTCTTTCCTGGCTCTCTGAAATGCAGAATAATAGCATCTGGAGAGAATCATTCAGCAGGTCTGCACATCTCCTCCTTGGAGTCATACAGAGAACTCCCAGCATCGTTAAAGGAGCTGCCTCAGCCCAATTACAATGCACTCTAAGCCAAAACCATTTCAGAAGGGAGCTCTGAAACCCACAGCCCAGCTTATGGCCTTCTCTTTACCCCCACTGGATTGATTATAAGCTCAGGCTTGCTTCCTGGCACTCAGAAATTGTTCTTCCCACCTAGCTCCCAACAGGAGCATTGGAGCAGCAAATCCCTGTCTCTACACACCTCAAGGTCTCAATTGCTCCAAAATACACCGTTTACCCCCTGTTTCATGTGTAACCACTTGTCTTCCACCAACTGAAAACAAAAAGCCAGCAAAAGCCAAGCAAGAGCCTGTTTGGCCCAAAAATCAGGTAGCTTTGCAAATGTGGAAGTCAAAGCAAAGCAGCCGGTACCCCTGTTGGTTGTAGTTACAGCCATTACAAGCGTAACGGGATTGCTGGTAGACACACAAAAGGGTGTTTGTTCACCACTTATCTTTAATCATAGAATCATGGGATGGGTTGGGTTAGAAAGGACCTTAAAGCTCATCCAGCTCCAATGTGTGCATCATCAGCCAGAACCATGTAAAAGGGGGTTCACACCATCCTGCCCCCGAAACCTCTCTCCATCTGAATCATGAATACAGCAGTTCTAACACAAAGTTTAGCTGTCAAACAGCCCCCGGGTTCCTGTGGTATATCCACCCAAAATACCGTCTCTGCTGGCAGCTAAAATCCCACTCATCAGTTAAACACAGGGTTGTGGTACCCCAGAGGAGGGACAGTGAGTCCCAAGAGCAGCTGGGGATGAGAGGCCACTCTCGGGTGTCTCTGATCTTAAACTTTCCATCCCACACAATAAAGCTCCTGCTTCTGTGCAATGTGATACGGTCAGGGCCAGGAGGGGATGAGATGGGCTCTGATGTACGTCTGGGGTTTGGTATTTGGTGTGGGGGGCAGCTAATAGGAGCTTGGTGTGAAGTTCTTCTCACAGTAGCATCTCCACAGAGAGAAAGGCCAAGCCTCCTCCACAAAACGGCCTCTCTCTGAGCAGTAGCTTTGTCCAAATGGATTTTCATAAATAAATGGGGTTTTTGTGAGACCATCTTGCAACTGGTTCATTAACCCACAGCAGAGTGGTGGCAACTGGGGAGAGTGGGAAGAGAAGCAGCGAAAGGTGCCGAAAGGTGGCAAAGACAAAAGTGGGTGAGAAGAGGGGTGAAAGGGAGGGTTTGTGTGATCTGGAGTTTCAACAACAAAAAAGATAACCCTCAAAACCGAGCCATCCACAAAGCTGGGACCATAGAGAATCATGGAATCAAACAGGTTGGAAAAGACCTTTAAGATCATCAAGTCCAGCCATTCCCCACCACTGCCAAGGCCACCACTAACCCATGTGTGAAGGAATTGTTCCTCAGCTCCATCTAAACCTGCCCTGGTGCAGCTTGAGGCCATTTCCTCTTGTCCCATCCCTTGTTCCTTGGGAGCAGAGCCCAGCCCCTCCTGGCTCCATCCTCCTGTCACGCAGTTGTAGGGAGCGATCAGGTCCCCCCTGAGCCTTCTCTTCTCCAGACTGAACCCCCCAGGTCCCTCAGCCCTTCCCCGTCACACTTGTGCTCCAGGCCCTGCTCCAGCTTCATAGAACAGGAAGAATCCACTTTCCTCTGTGCATTTTGAACTCAGGTTTTTGCTCTTTAAGCTCTAACTTTGTCATCCTGCTCTAACAGGCCATTTGGTGCTATGGAAACCCCAGTTTACACACTGGTGCATAGCTGCAAGCAATTAACTATCTGTAATTTCCATTTTCAGGGGATATTTTTGACTTGTGTATTAAGCAAACATTTATGCAAAGCACTGTGGAATCCATACATGTTAATTGAGTTGAACTTGTCTCTTTGCCACAGCAGATAATCAGATTGATGGGTTCAGGGAAGTCAGCAGAACATGCTGGGATGGCTGAAGAGCAGCTAGGAAAGAGGCAATACCTCGAGGGGAGGGTTAGATGGAGATTAGGATCAATTCCTTCCCCAGAGGGTGCTCAGGCATTGGAACAGGCTGCCCAGGGCAGGGCTGCAGTCACCATCCCTGCAAGGGTTCACACACCCTCAGTGCCATGGGTCAGTGGTGGCCTCGGCAGTGCTGGGCAACAACTGGACTTGATGAGCTTAAAGCTCTTTTCCAACCTGCTTGATTCTTCATTTGACTTCCTGAGCTCCCACCTCAGTTTCTGCGCAGATTGCAGCTGATTTTGGTTTCCCTGCCACAAACAGGGCTACTCGGTGGAGATGGTGGAGAACCACAGACACAGCTTCACCGTGGCCTGCTGGTTGAGACAAGCAATTCCTTTTTATTTGTGAGGGAAATGACCCACATCAAAAGGACTTCCCTTCACATCAGCCAGATGCAAAACCTGAGGAGGAGGAGGAGCGAGTGAGAAAGATCATTAATAAATAGGCTGCTTAAGTGTGGCAATGGCTCTAATGGGCTTGATTAAAAGTCAAGTATCATTCATTTGAGCAATTTGATGGGTAGGGATGTGTGTTGGAGCAGGGTCCAGGAAATCCCATGCTCTCACTATGGCATCAGACCTTTATCCTGGAAGATACCCCAGGCCTGAGATCCCAACCAAGAGGAGCTCCCCGGGGCTGTGCCACAGTTCATGTCCCCACTTCTTCTGCTTTCCCCATCCCCTTTTCCCATCAGGAAGTTATAAATCAGACGATTCTAAACCTCCCAACTAAAACCATTCTGGCTGCACAAGAGCAAGGTGTTAAGAAGAAACAGAAGCCCTTCTTAAAGCTGCTGTTTGGAATAGCAGCATTTCAGGCTGAGCACAGCATTACCATGCACAGCACCTCCGAAACCATCGTTCCTTTTCTTGCAAAGCAGATTGTGGCATCCAGGTTGATTGAAAAGGTGTTGCGGAGGTGAAAT